GGGTTTGGAGTTGCTCAATATTTTAAATCCTTGACAAATATTCAAGCAGTACATGCATACTTATGTATGTAGTACACGCACATGTAATATGACACGAGTGTGTTCGTTGAGATAAATAAATCTGTTTGACTTGAGTCCCTCTCATATGCGTAGTATCGAATTAGTTGGCAAATAGGATGGTAAGAATTCTATTTGGTTTTATTTGATTGTTTGCTCTGCCAACTACAGCCTCTCCTTCTCATCTCGAGTCGAGCTCTCCATTTCCGATTTGTGGTCCCATCAACCAGATACATGTATACAAATGTACATACACACCAAACAAACAGGGCAACGTACTTCCACCTCCACCAGTTATTAAATAATTAAACAAGGCTACACAGATTAAAGCCATGAATTTTGTATGTGTGCTTGCCCAACTACAACTATCAAGTTGTAAGTAAGGCCGCACTCTCTTTGACATGTCAGAAAAGGAGGCCGGAAATAACGCGCCTCATTCTCATCCCTTTCCATCACTTTCACTTACACTTTCTCCGCAGTGCTGCAGACATCAAGTATCTAGGTGATATCATACACAAACGCAGAGAGGGTTATTTAGTTACGTTTGTACTTTGTGCTTCTTCTCAACGCGTTGCTTTGGATAGTTGCACGTGGTGACGGATATATGTACATACAAACGAGTAGAAAGCTAAGTGATCCCCACTCGAAACAATGACAATATCAACAGCCCATCCATGCATATGTGCACGCCATCCTTTTAATTTACACATTTCGTTTCATAACTACAACAATTACGGACACATAATTAATTTAATCCAACCTCCAGTGCCTTATTATTGGAGGAAAGTACCAAGTCATATGATAGAAGAAGGAGCACAATTCCTGTTTGCTAACAGATGCTGGAAGGTACAAAAGATGAAAGTTGAGTTTTTCCCATACGAAATTATTATTGCTTTTATTATTATTCCATCAACTTGCTTCTTTCTTCTCTTTGGGTGAAAGTAAGGTAAATTCATTTCAGAAGAGGAAAGGGACAGAGAAAGACTTTCACCGCGGTCGGGCTATGACATTATGTTTATAAACCAGCCAAACCCACCTCTCTTTCTCTCTCTATCCATCCATCCATCCAGCCTTCCTTCCTTCCTCCTCCGTCCTCGACGTCTTCTACCCATATAGATACATCCCGTCGAAAATGTTGGGTATCACGTTTGAAATGTTTAAATATGCAAATGGCGAGATCACAAAGGGAGCACACACAAGCACCCAACACATTCATTGGTTCGAATTCAGAGCTCAAGTTACACTGCAACAAAACCTGAAGAGTTGCTAAAAGCTGTTCAAACTGGAATAAAATAAGCAAAGAGCAGAATGAGCAAATGAGTTCCAGGAATATCTCAAATATCTTCAAGAGGACGAAATTAAATTGAATTCATTTGAAAAATCTTCTCCAGAGATGTTTTACATTCTCTTACCATCAACTTGGGTCCCATTTCTTCTTCGTTTTCAACCCTTTCCTCATGTTCCGAGGAGATGTTTTCAAAGAGGCACAAGGAATGAAATCCACGTCTCAAGAAGAAGAAGATGAAAAGCGTGAGCTCTCAGCCACTACGTACATACATACATACATAATAATATATAGGTTGGCCTAAGACTCTGACAAAGCTGTTTTCTTATTACGAGTATGGACAGACGGATTTCTACTCTTTTTTAAAGATTTGAATCGGCTAGATCATAATGCACTCTCAAACCAAACACCATGCTACATGTGTATATAAATAGTAGGACTAGAACATCGAATGTGAAGAAAAAAGTTTCCGACTCACTTAAAATTTAAGAGCAAATAAACAAAGGATAAATTCAAATCCTCAAATTCTCTCTCACGTCTTTTTGGGATGAAACGATGTGGAGGAGTTGAATTGCTCATCCTTAATTATTTTCCAATCGCTTTCCTTTGGACAGAGAGCAAACAATGATATGAAATGAAAGGATCTTATTCTTGGTCTTCTTCTTGCTTACTCGAGAATGGTTGAGAAATGTAAAGCCGCTGCTGCTTCCTTCCGAGTGGAGCGAATATTATATATCCATCCACAGAGAGAGAGAGAGAGAGCTGTTGAATTCAAAGAAAATAATTGGACAGAATTTGATTGGAAGATGAACATGACTATGATGCAACAAGCGGATGTAATAAAGCCGATGAAGAAGCAACGCAGATAACCAACGAAAAGCAGCTCGCTACATATTTGGATGTGAAGATGTTGTTTGTCAGTTTAGCCCAGCACTAGTGATAAGTGTAGGGGTATGTAAACACGTACATATAACTTGGGTGTGTCAATAATTGAACAAAAAGTGTCCGCTTTGTTTCACTTCATTTTTACGAAGCATTGCATTGACAAGAACTGGTGCTTGTGATGATGAGAGTGAGTCTGTCGAGTAATTTGAGCAGCAGTACAATTAATCTCATCAAATGAGAGAAGTGGTCTCGTTTTGTGTATCAAAGGCAGAGGCACTTGAGTAAATAATTGTGTAATGTAAATTAAGAATGCGAACTCTGGGCTAATATGTAAATACCTACATGTTCGTTTTTCATTCCAAACAAATAATTCCCTTACTGTCTCCATCTCTTAGCGGTTTCGCCATATATGGAATTACAGAATACTTGAGTGTAATGAGCATTTAAAACATTTTTTAATTACTTTTCTAAATGGAGATGAGATTTTATGGAATTTGAGCAAGTGAATTCTTGATCACGACGACAAGTGCTTGCGTACAAAGATATGTACATACATCTGCCTTAAATGTTTAGCAGATGTGGCATATGCATGTGTATGAATGTATGTACATGGTTTCGGCAGTGGTGGTTAAACTCCCATTTCTCTGGGAGCACATATGTGTGAAACAAAAACTTGTGACCCTTCAAATAGGATCAAATAGAATAAGGACCCTTCTCTCTATACGTATATCTATCCGTCCGTCTTTTGGTAAAACAGGACATATCTAAATATAAGGGCACAATTGTATATATTTAGTGCAATCGTTTGCTCTCTTCCTTTCTCCCCCGTTGTTTTATAATATTTTGTGAAAATCATGTGAAAATTAACAAACGTAATGATGAGAATCATACATATGAATAGTGCCTACAAATTGTGACCGCGTGTGATTAGTTGGCACAATGCACAGCCCGAGAAGAAAATAATATTTGGTGGGAATTTCCAGAAACCCATGTGATATTTCGTTTCTGAAAATGAATGAGCAGTCAAACGACAATCTCGTTACAATGAAATCAAACACATATCCTTTGCAGTGAAAGTTGCCTGTTTCACCATCACGACGAGCAATATTCCACCATGGCTGATCCACTCTGCTCCTGGCCCAGGAGCGTTTGCCAAAAACTGTCCGACTCTCACAACAAGAGCCACGAAAAGCGAGCAATTTCTCTGTTCTTCAACCATGTTCTGGACGCTAAGGGGTTGGAGAAACTTGAATGTACGACTATGGCCCCACCAGACAGGCAAGTATACGACGCCATGCCATGACTTGTGATGAGAGGAACACATAATGTAACACTCAACGCCAACCAAGATAGCAATATCGGTCTACCAGGTTGCTAGCATGTTCTTTAGTTTAGTTTACTGCGGTGGAAGTAAATTGTTCTAACTCACAAAGCAAAGCAAGCAGTTGAAGTTGGTTGAGCTGTATTTTAGCTGCCGAGGAGGATGAGATGAGAAAACCCTTTATTTCACTCCTCCGCCATACCACCCTCTCTCAGGCCGGATCACTTTGCAAGTAGGAATTTCGGATCTGAATTTATTCAGCAGCACTTCTCTCTCTCTCTCTTGTTCCTTCCTTATGGACACTTAACCCTCTAACTAGACTCAACAAACTAACAAGGTGTACATACATACATACATAGATTCGAAATCCACATACGCTGCTGCCTCGTATGTTTCATCCGTCCCTGCTTAGAATTTTGCAAGAGCAGTATTTCGTTGATGTTATGTTATGTTGGTGGTTCATGGGCGATGTGTATCGTTTGATGTTGTGCTACATGTGCACTCTTCTCATCCGGATCTATTTTATCTTTCACTCTCCCATTCCATTCACAAGGGTTCTTATTATTGCAGCACTGCACTCCTCCTGCTAACTAACATACAGGCATGATTCACAGCAGTGAAAACTTTTGCCCAGTTCGGAATTAGAGTGATACCCAGATCCAACTATGCTACTTGCTAGAGGCCATAAGACGACGACCTTTTGGGATCCATGGTAGACAAGATCACGTATTTTTGCGGGACAGGTCTAACAGTGCGACCACTCTTGAGGACTGAAGGCAATACAAATATATTGTGCACCATCATAGAGTGACTTGGAGAAAGATAAAAGGAACTGAGAAAGAAGAAGAAGAAGAAGGAGGATGGGAGGAGGGAGGAGTAGTTCTCACTAGTCAGCTTTTTTATATTGTGTACCGTAAAACAAGAGAGTATTTTGTTGGTCCATTTTGTTTTATAGTGTAATTCTCATTTATATTGGATTAATCATTTGTTGTGCAATAATTTCCTTGTATCTACAGAGCGAATTACTTTCTCTCGCATACTCATCCTGATGATTTTATGTGGATTAGTAATAGCCGACCTGTCAGGACAGGGTAAATTATGATAATTCCCTCCCCAATAAGTTACCGGCTCAAAATTCTTAACATGAGACATTATTGAACATCGTTAACTGCTAATCGTTAACTTTTCTGGGGAGCCGATAAGTACCAGGAAGCCAGAAAGATGCGAAGATGGAGTGGCAGTTTTACCATCCACTTCCATCAACACCACCACTACGAACTGTTAAAATACTACCATGCTTATTACACATACTACGAGGATGAGCCACCTCTTTCTTCTGCAGGAAGCTGTAACAGGGTGTCACTTTGGAGCAAGTTTGGTGGTGGTGGTAAGAGCATCGGCGACGACGGTGGTGGTGCATTTGGAAGAGAGAGAGCTAGTGAGTTGAGTGGCTGAATCTGCTTCAGAGATCTTTCCGTCGTTGTCGGGGTCAGACGTAGCTATCTCCGGCTTCTCCTTTGATCTCCTCTTAGTTTTCTTAGTTGCCTCGTCCTTAGTGGTCGTCCCTGGTAGTAAATAAGTAGTTGGTAGTGTGTTAGTGATAGATACGTAGCCATTAACACTAGCACCACTTCCCGTCATCCTTCCTTCCTCAAACACACACTCGGAGAAAGCACGGTTTAAATTCCCTAAATTATTGATACATTCGGAGAAAGCTGAGCAAACTTAAATGTACATTTCCTCCCACTTACCAACCTCACGCTCAACTCATTTCTGACTTGTAAGCAAACAGCTACATACAACATTGCATTTTAAATGTGACCAGGAGAAAGTGGAGCATCGTCTTCATCATCCATCGCTCCAGCTCCTTGTCCCCACATTACATAAACTGCAGTGTGGTGGTGAAAGTAGTGCAGCTGAACTGAAATCCGTCCCTCAAGGTAGATAACCATAATGGCGCTGGAGGGGAGATTGACCACTCTCCAGACCAAGGTTGACCTGTTGTTGGAATTAGTCAAGGAGCGAGAGGGGAAAACTCTTGGTGGAGAAAGTACGAAACAGGAGAAAGTCGACGACTATTTGTCGCAACCCATTCGGAGTCCACAGGCTGAGATTCGCTCCTTGGAGTTGTGGAAGTCTGTTGTGGCGGAATGTCTGGGCACCCTCTGCTACGTCTTTTTCGTCTGTGGAGTCTCAATACCCTGGACGTAAGGCCTATATGAATTGAATACTTACTTAAATTATGATTGCATGGGTTCATTATGTGTACAAAGGTTTACGTGGGATCTTGATTTTGAAATGTTTCATTTTAGTGGACACTTTCCACCGTTTCTGAGCATCGCCATCGCCTCGGCGCTGGCCTACGGAGCACTTACCTACCTATTTCCTGGGTCTCATCTTAACCCCACCTTCACCCTGGCTCTGGCCTCCATCAAATGCATTTCTCCGCTGAGATCAATTCTATTCGTGACGGCCCAGGCTGGTGGTGCGATTGCGGGAGCGAGCTATCTCTACGGGTAAGTAAAGTACCTCCACTTTTTTATGTCATTGTTTGTATCACCTCCAACTTCTCATTCTGCATCCAACTCGAGAAGTATGCTCGACATGGCATGGACTGACTCCCAGTAAATTGTACCCATCACAGGATGGCAAGTGAGTGAGAATGCTAATCTTGAAAAGTCGTCGCGAGACACGAGAGTTAGAGCGGAGCAGAGAACTTGAGACAAAACACGGTTCCGTTTCGGGATCATTAGAGCTTCTATCCGCCGAGTGCGTTACGAAACCATCACATATTTTACAAACTTGGCTCTTCTTCACAAACCGCACCACGACGACTGCTATGCACTAACGACACAAAGACAGTCCTACGCCAAGGAGAACAAGGACTGGCTCGATAGTCAAGTATTTATATGGCTGCGTGTGTGTATGTAGTGCTGATTCGAATGTGAAGTGCATTTTAAAATCAGCAAGCCACAAGAGGTCCATTCTCAAAACTTCTTCCTCTTCTTCTCATTCTCTCCGCTGAGTATAAATAGTTCCGCCTTGTTTCAATTTCAAAAAGCAAAGTTAAATCATTGTATGTAGGCAAAATACAAAAGTCACTCAACACGACCACCGTTGCGTTGTTGTTGCCTCACTCACATTTTCAAGCCACACAACAAAGTTTGCCAAAATTACATTAAAGGCGCTTCATCCAGCAGGAAAAAGCATGACAAGTTTTCTCCCAGTGTTGTTGCACGTACGTTGATATGAATGTGCTAAAGTTAACCGAGAAATAACAATGGGTTGATTCTTGGTTTCGCTCCCTCTTCTCCAATGACTGCTTGGTTGGTGGTTGCGGTTTAGTTCGGTTGTTGGGGTTTGCTCGTTCGACTCTTCTTGTTCTTGAGAGAACAAAGTGTTGGGCAAATGGTGGAGGAAGGGAGGATGCTTTGATATGCGGTTTGAGTGTTCAGCTAATGTTGAGGTTGGATGTCGGATGGGTTGCAGTTAGTTGGCAATTTAGGTTCAGATCCCGGATTACAAGGGTTTAGTGTTACGACTTGGCTCCCTCGCGAACTTGACGTGCATTGAGATCAAAGTTCTTCTTATTCTTCATGTAATCACAATCAATAGCAACCAACCACTCGATATCTTCACATCTTTGACTTCAATTATGCGCGTATAAAAGTCTATGTGCACATGTGTGTATCTACATATAAACGGATAACAAAAACTGCATACTCTCCGTTGCAGTTTTACAGGTTTTAATTAAGTTTCGGTGCATAATTCAAAACTCTGCTTTCTCGTTTGTATTAATCAATAGAACCAAGTGAGGAGGTTGAGATTTTGCATTTACTTAGGTTCTTTTACATTCTGCTCCTTCACACCCTGGGCGTTTATTTACTTAACGGGTAAAATAATGTAGCATACATAAGCAACATAATGGGCAGACATCTTATGAGACGAATTCGTGCAATGATAGCCATGTTAACTGGAGCGATGGGAGACACTCTGAATGTCCTCGTTTGACATTTTATTTTACGTAACATCATCTCAGACAGGGAAGGCAACATCCTCTTGGAAATATATCACAACAAAAGATGATGATGATGATGATGATGATAAGGTGAATGCAACTGTTGAGGTTCAAGTGACAAACTGATGGTGAGACGTTAGAATTTCTTGTCCTGACGATGAGTTGTTTGCTAAGAACTAGAGCACAGAATATATGTGCTGCTATATATTTGTGATACGTATGTATGCACTGTTGCTTCTGCTCTGCTGTCCTAATCATTTTAAGTTGAATTCAAAATATGACTTTCTACAAGTGTTGAGCAGATGAGAGAATGAGAACAACAAGTTATTTCCCTTCCTCTCAGCAGCCGCAGAGCATCCATATCATGACATTTGTTGATAACTCTCAGTTCACACTTGTCGGGTTGTTTAGCAATATTAAGTATATTTATATGAAGCTCATTGCATGTTGGCAGAGTCACATCTCCCTGTACGCGTACGTATGTAGATAGCATGGAGACCAAAGGTATCCGTACAGACTAGATACTACATCCATTAGGAAATTGGAAAGCTAAGAAAACATTGAAATGTGAAAGCCCGAGAGACAAGATCAATGAGGTTGCAGGAATATTATTGCAATAATAATTTGTGCTACTGATAGTACTTTTGTGCAGCTTGATTCAGTCGCCCTCCATATCGAACTCGTGTCATTCGAACTTCGAACCTAGGATAGCACACATCTTCAGCTAAATATACCAATGTGCCCTCCATTATGCGTACTTATATGTATCAACAAATGAATAATGCTACCATGCTGGTGAATATCTACAGATACGTATTTTCTCGTCATTTCTCACCTCGAAAAGCTCCACAAGTAGCAAAATCATCAATCGCTCTCTCCCTCTCTTTACGTGACTACATAGCACATTAGTTATGATGATGCTGAATAGTAACAGCACCTGCCTCCAGAAATTTGGACCTTCTGCAGGACGGCTGTTTGGGTGTCTCTTTCATCATCATCAGAAAACATCTTGCCTGCCTGTAGATTCACTTTGAGTGGAAGAATGCCCATCTGCCAGCCATCCACAAACCCTCGTCGTCCTTGTTCTGTGTGTGCAGGTCACTGTTAGCGTTCCTTATTCTTCTTCCATCCCTCATGCCATAGATACGCATAGCCTGCCTGCCTGCCTCCAACCTTTTCATCTTCAGATGGTCGGAGATAGCTTTCAAATGTTGCTTTAGATTTGCTTTATGCACAGCTTCAATCCCATCCATCCATTCCATATGCATGCAACTGGCTGCAAGAATCGAGACCTTTTGCCAGATGTGGATTCATCTTTAACCAGCCATCAACCACTGCATGCATCCATGATCTTTCGGGCTCAACTGGTAATTGTACTTCCACCAACGACTAAACAACCACTACTGAACTGGGTTAATATTACTCGTCTTAAGAAAAGAAGAAGAACAAAGCCTGCATTGCTTATTATATGTGCCTCTTGCAGAATATACCATTCCGGAAGCTTGCTACATATTTAGCAGTCTTTTACTCACTCACGTTAAACGTTCATGGATGTAAAGTACGTAGGAAAGATGGGATAATATAATATTATACAAGTCCAAGTTATTTTAAGTATTCTTATCTTTTGCTTGCTTCGTTTATTAATTTTCTCTCCGCAAGTGGTTAGTTGCACCACAAATATTTACATATTTGCATACGCTTTACATAAGCAAACAATAAATCCCGACTTTCATTAAGGGAACCAAAAAATTTTAGCGCAATAATTTAGCCGCTGCTGTCGGCTTTGAAGATGGGTTTGTAGAAATCTCTAGTAAACTTGAATTTTCGGCCTTTCTTGAAAAATTTTAAACTGAGGGAATTTCTGACAAAGATTACCATTTAATTGTTCCGGTAGAATATTTTGCATGAATTTCTAGTGTGCACACACTCATATATCATACATACGTGGTATTGGTGAAATGCGCTTACGGAGGATTTAAACGTCTCTGCTTCCCAAGTACGATGATAAGACACAACAAAATATAGAATAAACTGTTCCGTTTATTATTTTCCACGCTATCTCGATCCAGTCTTTTTTCTGGAAGGGAAGGAGGGGTGGAATTGGAGTGGAAATAAGATGCTGCACGTTAGTAACATGTATCTGCTAGTAGAATCATGGTGGATGGTGGTGCTGACTTGGATGAGCATTTCATTTCATGATTTCCGAACATGCTGACAACTGCACAAACATAACGCAGACATTTCTGAACAAAGACACAAAATCGAATCAAACTTTATTATGGAATGAAGAAGTTGTGTTTAAGCTTTCGTAAACAGAAAGCCTCTGATTGTGAGTTTGAGCTTGGGCCAAGAAGAGATTTATAAAAGAGCAAACAAGCAAATCACGGAGATAAACTGATTGGACACCGTCTTCCTGATTTTGTTTTGTTGTATCTGGGTAAGTTATATATGTGGCTGATTAAATAAATAAGAGCTGGCTCACATGAAAAATATATATATTTCAATTTCGTTCATTTTTTTCATGATTAAACATTATGACAAATAATGTTGCGACATACATATATTCCAAAACTTTGCCTGAACTTTTTCAGTTATATAAACCTGTACCTGCATCTTGGGAATTTTATATAAAGTCAAAATAAATTGAGTAACCATTTTTTGCATAGTGCGTAGCCTTACTTTGTGAAAAACTTTTAAACTGAATAAAGAGTTGAGCAAAACTCAGTTGCATGCATACAGTATATGTAAATGTATGTAGGATGGTTGTAAATAAACTCGAGATTCCTGCATCAAAGAGCTCTAAATTCTGTACAACTTATGTACGTTTAAGAGGGCATAATGGCTGTCTCGGCAGGTTAAAGAACAGGAAGGGTCTCGGCCAATTAAGAAAACAAATGACCTAAGTTAACTATTTCCAGCAGGAAATTAATAAAAAGAGTAAAATATTGTGAGAAAGTTTTACTCAACTCGTTCAAGTACTTAACCAAGAAGTAATAGGGCAATAAGGTGTGCTTTCCATTGGTGCTGGTTCCACACACTACAAATAAAATAATTATCATGCATTCACTTAGGAAAACCAAAAATTGCTGCAAACAAAAGTGTGAGAAAATTAAACTCGTAGTTTCATCCTCGCCTTATTTTCTGTACTGCATTTAATTTCTCTCTCTGTGAGCACACCTATTTAATTCTAAGGATAAGTGGCAGAGCCAGAATTTAGTCAGCAATTCTGGAGCAAAGATTTATTTTTGCGCAAGAAACTTGTGGTCATTTTGGACTACATAAAGTGCAAATAAGACGATTTGCGTATGGAAGTCGGGGAAATTAGTAGAGTTGAACCGTGACGGAGATAAGCACTTGTCATCACAGCAACACCAGCTATTATTTCGGTTGTGGGCATGCTCTGCATTTCCTTCATTCTCCATAATAACATGTATCTCTCTACAATGGTGTGACTACGTGATATGCGGTATACGTAGTACAACAATGCATTTAGAGTGA